TGTGTGTATGAATGTTTCTCTGTGTGTGTGTCTGTATGTGTGTGTGTGTGTGTGTTTGTATGTCTGTGTGTCTGTATGTGTGTCTCTGTATATGTGTGTGTGTCTATGTGTGTGTATGCATGTGTGGTGGGGCACTGTATGGGAAGGGGAGGGTAGGCGTGTGGGGAGGTGGTGGGGGGGTAGATGTACGGGGGGAGGCCCAGGGCAATTTTCACACTGGGGTTTCTAGTTACACCTCTGAAGGGGATACATAAGCAGGATGGGATAAGTTAAGTTTTCTATTGGATTTTACCCAGCTGAGGAAGCCACTTTTTAGGTGGTGAAACATGTTCTGGCAGCTGGAAGAAAAGACATCACAGTATTCATATTGGACATTTTTCATTAAACATACTAATAAATTATCCAGTATCCTGCTGCTTCAAAAGAGGGAGTGTAGTGCCAAACTACACAGTGTGCTGAAATAGAGCCTCTCTTAGGCTCCTATTTTGTGAGTATCAATTTGGCTTGTATTTTATCTTAAAAGTACAGTACAATACTACCCTATATTAGTGTCTCTTCAAACCTCCCCTTAGGACTGATCAAGCAAGATATCTATACATCTAAGGGGTGGATGGCCTTAACAGACCTGGTTGCCATCCCCACCGGAGCCAAGGTTTTTTTTAGCTTCCTAACTTGTGAGTGTTCCATTATCACTTAAATATATTTTTATTTTCCATACAATTTAGTACTGTGGTGTACTATTTATATTTTTGGACAACTATTTAGTTAAAGATCTGTGAAAAGTACAGTTTTGTTGTCATATATTGTACTTTATTCACTTAATATAAGCGCTACACTTTTTGGGTTTAAGTTAAATTTTTTGTGGTGTATTTGGAAAGATTATACACTCAAGTGTTACGGATGCTTTTTGTAAAAATTGTACTTGGTATATTACGGTTATATTAAGTGAGTTATTTATTTCACTATATAGCGCTAGTACCCTTTACCACTCTTTTGTACAATACAACCCTTAATTATTACAAATGGAAACAGTGTGGAATCACTCACCTGTACCAACTATACTGTGAACGAGGCCTATGTGACCTTCAGACCACATACTCTCTATCTTCCAATGTCACCTGTTCAAATGAAAGCTATGCTAAGAGCAGAACCCGAACCCTTCAGACCCCCGGTCACTGACGTAACCTTAACGAATTTTGAAAAAATGTGTTTCCAATTGGCCCAATACATAAATCCTTTTCCATATGCTACACAACTATCACTCAAAGGACTTTGGAGCTGCCATAGAAATTCATGAGGTAATGAAACAGGGACCTAGACCCAGACTTGACCTTGGATGAATGGAAACTAGTTTTTTTTTTTTGTTTTTTTTTTAATTCTTTATTTTGGTGTGCATGGTGATTAGTACATACAAGCACTTGGTGCCCCAACAGCAATCCTCGAGCGTTTTGTCTAGCATTACATTAGGAGCAGTAGAGTAGTGAGCACATTTGTATATATTAACAGATTCATACATAGCATCTTTCAATGCCCCGACAGCACTGATCAGGTAGTTAATTAGAGATTTACAAGTTACAAGGCATTTGAGTATTCTGCACATTTTTTGTTTGTTAAGCATGGTAGATTACAAGCTAAGTGAAGCTAGAGTTAGTTAACAGTAGGTATACTCAGCAGATGGCATTCAGAGAGATATTGCCACTGAGGTCTGACAGATAAGCCTAAACTGAGTGTGAGAAAGATAAAATAAAATAAAGATAACACATGAAAGTCCTATTTAGCATTGATCTGATAAGCAAAGTATAGCGCTGCCGAAAATCTGGACCTACACCGAAGATAGACAGTGTTATTTATGAGAGGAGTGATAGCAGGTCATAGAAGCTAAAGGCAGGAGGCTTATGCTGCATAGATAGTATCATTTATGCTAAACAGTCAGGATCGATTGTCCACGAGTTACCGCTCCGTACCATTACACTGCTTGTAAGTGATGGTCCCCTCACCCCTGCACTTCTCTATGCAAAATGTATACTGTATGTCTGGCTGACCGTGTAGCTGACCAAGAGAGAGCAGGGGGAGGACATTCCTTAGCTGGAGTGATGAATGCTTGCTTGTGTAGATATGTGTTGGCAGAGACAGGTGGGGTGTCGCTGTTGATTCTATGTGAAATCGTTCATGAGTCAGACCGAGCATTAGGCTGTAGTCAGAAATGCCAAGTGCTAAGCTCCACTGAGTTCTCACCGGAGGGATCATGCTGTCTTCTGCATGGTGTTACTGAGCAGCTTATGCAGTAGGCTTGCTGTGTCTAGTGGCTCACCCTTCTCCAGCCCGATGTTGCTGTGAACGGAGGCTTGATGAGCGGGCTGGTCTGGTATACTCTACTCCGCCAGCCCCGGGCTCTGCTTCAGCGACTGCTAGTGCCTTCGGTTCCGGTCCAATTCTGGCCAGTAACGGGATGTCTGGCTGATGGTGTGTGCTTGGGCTCGGGGCTGCGGTTTGAGGAGTGTCCTCAGAGGGCTCCAGGCCCAGGAAGGCTCCTGGGTATGCGAGTCAGGTAGGCTGGGAGTTTGCCGTGGTGTGTGGCAATGCTCTGCTGCTGTGTGCCCTTGTAGTGAGGCAACAGGACTCGGGTTCTCTTGTTGCTTGTCGGTGGTGTGTGCACTTGCGCCTGGTGTGGACCTTTGGGTCACCATGTTGCAGTCCATCAAAGGTGGTCCGGCATCGAGCCTCATGCGGGGTGCGCCCTTGCTCTTGCCTTTGCTGTAAGCGTTGTGAGTGCTGGGTTGTTGTTGCAGGCCCTCACATTGCCTTCGGCACGCATGGCGTCGGCCATCTTTGGTGAGATGCTTAGGCCGCTCTTCTTGGTAGCAACGCTGCTGGGTCTTGGTGGTTCTGTGTGCCCACTGGGCAGGGACCGGGATAACCCCCCCCGGTCCAGAGGGGGGGGGGTAAGCGAGACACCGGCCGGAGACCCGGGAGAGCGGCCGTCCCTACCCGGCTCAAACTCCAGAGCGCTTCGGGCCTGTGGAGTGCCAGGCATGGTCTTAAGTGGTATCCCCGTAAACCCCAGCTGCGGGAGGTTGCTGTGGGCACCAGTATGGGTCAGTGGTTGCATTTGGCACCTAGTTGGCACCGATGTTACGGCCCAGAAGCAGGAGCTCAGACGGAGCACGTCTGATTCTGTCGGCGGTCAGGCCCCGCCCCCCGGAAACTAGTTTTTAGTGCCCAGAAAGGTCTTTCCTCCTGTGCATCACACCTGGAGACCACACATAAGATATTAGATCGGTGGTCTCGAGTGCCAACTAGACTAGCAAAAATGCACTCAACCATTAGCAATAAATGTTGTAGATGTCAGGAAGGAAAATGGTCAATGCTTAATTTATGGTGGACATGCCAACCTATAACAAATTACTGGGAGGATATAGCCAAACTGATACATTATGCCATTAGCTTCCATATGCAATCCCAGATCAAAACATTCGTACTATACCTACTACCAACTGACCTTCCCAAACCACTATTGAAGGTTTTATACTTACTTCTTATTTCAGCGACTATATTAGGTGCTAGGTAATGGAAATCCCCCAACATACCCACCATCAAAAAAGTAATGGCATTCATTTCAACCTCTTTAGAGTACAAAGCAATGCTTGGGAACCAAAGCAAACTAGGCAAATTGGTCCAGACTGGACAGACTTCAGGTCAAAGCAAGCCAACATCAACAACTAATATTTTATTAAAAATAGTGCCATTAGACACAGGAAGACAAAGAGCTTCTATATCTGATACTCCAATTTAGTCATAAAGCTCACTGACTGACATGATTGACCAAAAGTTAAGACTAAAGGCATGGTCCCTTCTTAAATACAGAGGAATGTAACCTTTGTGGACATTCAATGTTGCATTGGGGTCCTGGACAAATGTTTGGGGCTGCACTGTTTTTTTTACCCCTCTCTGTTGTCCACACCGTTTTCTTCTTCTTTTCTCATCTATTATTGAAATCTGGATGTGTATTGCGATGTGAACTTACATAACTACTGTATACTTAAGCATAGTTGAATAACATTGTAAGGGGAATACTAATACACTTCAATTACTGCTATGTTTTTACACTATAGATGTATTTTTATGACTTCTTTGTCTATTGTTTGATTTTGCGTGCTTCATCTTTACTTCCTTTAAGCTTTCTTTCCATAACTTTAATACAATTTACAATTGGTTTCTAAATTGGGGCATAAATAATAGATTTGTGCAGGGTGAAAAAATGTAGTTACAATATTGCCTGGCTGTATCAGCAATTTTTGCAATGACAATTCTGACTTGTCAAAATATGTATGAATGCAAAACAAAAAATAGGAAATGAGGGAACGTTTTTTTGTTTTATAATGATTGATTTAATGTTTTTCATTTTGCTATCTTGTATTATGAAAAATGGGGAACAGAAGTAATTTTAAGTAAAAAGAGGATTAAGCAAGAATATGAAAGGTACAAGTCCGCCATGTCCTGTTCCGTTCTGCGCATATGTCTGGCCTTGGCTTCTGGTATTCTTGTTTAGTTGTTTTTGTTTTTTCTGTTTTTCTATTCTATGTCTGATTTTCTTTACACTGGGTTTTCTGGGTTCATTCCTTCATTCCGTCCCTGAAATTCCCAGTCTCCTGGATTCCTTTAAATGTTTGATTTTTGTTGCCACACCTATTCCTTTGCCATTAATCCTTTTTGTTTCAGACTGTTCCTGCAAGCAGTGGTCTCATTTTAGGTAAGTACTGTGTGTTTTTTTATTGTTGTATATTTAGTCATGCATATCTAGGCAGTTAGGACCCACCGTAATTGGAGTACTTTGGCGCAGTGGTGGGCTGCATACATCTTGGCCATTTATGTATGTCTAAATCTCCAATGTTTATTACATTTATAGTATTTAGTTATGTCTTCTCTTGTTTTGCTTTGTATCTCTTGTCTTGTTTTATTTTGTCTTGTATTCCCAGTTCATGTACAGCCCTGTCATGTCTTGCTCTGTCCATGTCCTGTTCTTGTTTCCCTCATGTATTGTGTACATGTTCTGGATTCTGCTTTCTGTCCTGCTCTGGGTTCTTCTAGTCTTGTCTTATCTTGTTTGGTGCCTAGTCTAGTCTTGCCTTATTAGTACTGGATACTTTTATGCTTAATATAAGCTCTTGGCATCCGCTAAGCTGCATCAGGGCACTGGTATGTGGCCGCAAAAACCCTGGTGCTCAACACCAGGGGGCGTGTGGTTACCCTGCACCAGACCCTGACTGTCCATTTCCATGCTGAGACTCCTATCTTTATCATCAGGCACACGGTGGTCCCCGTCTTTAGACCGCCACCCATTCACTTGTGCCACACTGACTGGAACAAAGCTTCCCTACACATCCAGTCTTTAGCATCAGGGATTGTCCTGCAGTGTGGAAAAAACAGTCTCCTATCAGCTCCTCCCAACAGAGTCTGCAGAGGGAGCAAGCACTTAAGACTCAGTCAGGTAGGGTAAAATTACTATAGTGAAAGATATTTTAAAAAGGGGCTGGAGCAGTTAGCAGGAGCATTTTTATTTTATTTTTTGATATTTATTTAATGAGGTGGGTGAACAAGTGAATGACCGCATTTTAGATTTTTTTTTAATGTTTTTTACAAAGCTCCACAAACCACACTCAGGTTCACTTGTGCAGCAAATATCTTTATTACTGAGGGAAGAAGCTTGCAATTTCCAATCCATAAGAAGTGGCACAGAAGCACACTGAAAATGAAATAATTCATCTCTTACTAGAAATAGACTAAAAATAAATCAAACAATTCTAAATCAGTGAATCAAAGTGGTACTAACAGTAGCAGCTAGATAAGAGAAACTTTAGATTTAAATTTTTTTTTCTCCTTTTATAATTCACCAGATGAGGGGTCTAACTGTTCCTGTCCAACCTAACTCTGTCAACTACTGGCACTATACCAACGCCACCCCCTGCTCTGCCTAAGAGCTGTGGTAGCAGTTGTGCAGGTGGTAGCACCAATGGTAGGTTGTGACAAATGCACAAAATCAGATACATCTCGTGTCTACCTGCTGTCTGCTTCCCCTAGTAGTTTCTTGTTCTGTTTCTTACCTCAGTAATACAGACTTGTGGTATCTTTGCAAATGTTGCTTCATACTGGCACTAGTGAGATGACTTTTCATTCACCCCAACTAACTTCTTTGCAGCACAATTTTCACTTTGGAAGCTGGCCTTCTTGGATTTATTTAAAGTGATCCCAAACTTTGTTTTGTTGGATTGATACAATAGCCCCCTCACTTTGTCATGAAGATCCAGGTGGATTTGCATTGTCGTAAAAGTGGTGATGCTGGTGCTGATTATGGTAACATTGACAGTGGATGGCCACTTGTGCCAGTGGACACAATTGCAATCTGCAACTCAAAGTTTTTTTAAGTGGCACTGGCAGTAGCTGGTTAAATACATACAGCAGCAAGGTAAACCTAGTATCACACTACAATCAATGACCCAAGCTAGTTTCCTTGCCCATTAGTACAGCAAGGGTAAAACACATAGTATCACTGCTGGTCTGTCTCCCTCAGTAGCTGATGAATAAAATCAACATTTACTGGCTGTAACCTAACTATAAATAATCTTTCTACCTCTTGAAAGGAGCAGACATCTCTCTTGTCCATAATGGCAAACTAAATTGCTTATTTGCCCCTACAAAATAGCAGCCTTTTCATAATCCCATACCCTTTCTTGCTGGTTCTTAGAATGGCACTCTGAACCAAAAACTAAAATGAGCATATTCTGGCTTGTGCAGGTTATTTTTTTTTTTCGAGATTCTGGCGCATTGTGGCTCAGAAATCTAAATTTGATCAGCCCAAATCTGGCTGAATTGCACTTTGGACAGAAATGAAA